AGCCGCCGCGCGAGACGGGCGGCCGGGACGACGTCACCTACAACATCGTGTGCAAGAAGTGCCGCTCCGACCGGCGCGCCTGCTCCCGCTGCGACGACAACGTGGACTTCGTGCCGCGGCAGCTGGGCCTCACGGAGACGCGCGTGTCCATCAGCAGCCTCTGGGGGCACACGCCGTACACCTTCGAGATCCAGGCCGTGAACGGCGTCTCCAGCAAGAGCCCCTTCCCGCCGCAGCACGTCTCCGTGAACATCACCACCAACCAGGCCGGTGAGTGCCGGGCGAGGCGGCTCCGTGCCCAGGAGGTGCCTCCTCTGGGTGTCGTGCAACGCCCGGCAGGGCTGGAGGTGCCTGGCGCCCACGCCGCGCGCTCTGTGCGATGGGATGGGAGGGAACAGCCGATGTAGCAATTAGCAAAGCAGCAATCAAGCTGCAGGTTTAATTCCCAAAGATGGGCGTCTTAGTGAGGTAGGAAACGGAGCGTTAAAGAGGCCAGGCGGCAGAGGCAGTGTCGCACGGTGTCAACTCCCCACGCGAGGTGGAGCTGGGGGCGTTCGGGCTCCCTGTCTTGGGAGAGGAGGTGCCGGCAGCGCGGTCCGCGTGGCTTCCGGAGCCTGGCGCGCACCTCGCCACGCGACCTCGCTGTGCAGCGGGCTGGTGGGATGGCAGCGAGCGGCGATGCTGCAGGGGAAACGCGGAGCCTCGAGCCCTGCCGAGGCCGGGTCCTGGTGGCCAGCGCTCCTCGAGATGCTCCTCTGGGCAGGTGGTGTCTCTGGGGTGCGTGGGGGATGTCCCTGTAAGGATGCCGTGGTATCCCCTGTCATCTTCGTGCCCTTGTTGGTCCCAAACGCTTTCACAAAGACTGTTTTGGGGAGCGTTTGCTGCAGGACTCGGATCACCCCATGTCCCATCTTGTCCTTCCTCTCAGACATCCCCCTTCCCACCCTTCTCCTCTCCCACGCAAGTTCTCCAGCGATTTCTCCCGCTCTGTCTCTGGGTGCTTTACTTCCCTTTCCCCCCGCCGTTAATTCTGTGCCTTGCATGTCCCCGCAGCGCCTTCCACTGTGCCCATCGTGCACCAGGTGAGTGCCACCATGCGGAGCATCACGCTGTCGTGGCCGCAGCCCGAGCAGCCCAACGGCATCATCCTGGACTACGAGCTGCGCTACTACGAGAAGGTGAGCCGCATCTGCACGCCCGACCTCGGCGGCGCCGTGGGCTCCCGACCCGCTACGGTGAGCGCCGCGGCCTCTCCTGCCTCCTACCGCCGCGAAGGGCTTGACTTGCACGTGAATAATTACAATAATCACCAGGGATGGGCAAAAATGAGACTGGAGACGCATGAAACTTCCCCATATCTTTAGCATAAGGACTGGTGGCGCTCGGCAGCAGCTGGTTCCCCTTGACGTGATTCAAGCACGGTCCTGTGGGGTGGCTCATGGCACCTCCGCGGTTGCCTGCTCTTCCTGAGCCGTGCCGGAGCGGAGACGGCTGCGCAGCGAGGGATCCCCCTGGGCTTGGCCCGTGGGGTCACTCTCCTCCGCAGCGTCTCTTCCTGCTGCCTCCGAATGCTCTTTTAGTGTGTTGCTTCTCCCGTTGCTCCGAGTTATTCCCCGCGGGCCGGCCTACGCCGCTGCTCCGCCTCCTCCTCATGTGCGCCGCGCACGGAACCTCCAGAAGGAAAACTCCTCTGGCTCCTTCCAGGTGGCCCTGGGAGGCGCGTTTGGCAGTCCAGCCACTCCACATCTTCCTGAAGGAGCCTCCTTGGAGAGCCTGGTCCCCTTTTCCCTAAGGAAAGATGCTGTCCAATATCCCTGCACATCCAAAAACCTCTGCAAAACCCGTCCGGGTACAAACTTTGGGCCCTCGTTTCCCGTGGGGAGGGTGGCCCTGCGCCGGGGCGGCCGTAGGGAGCCTCGTCCGTGTCCGGAGCCACTGACGCCTCTCGCTGTGTCCCGCAGGAGCACAACGAGTACAACTCGTCCGTGGCGCGGAGCCAGACCAACACGGCGCGCATCGAGGGCCTGCGGCCCGGCATGGTCTACGTGGTGCAGGTGCGCGCGCGCACCGTGGCCGGCTACGGCAAGTACAGCGGCAAGATGTGCTTCCAGACGCTGAGCGACGGTGAGCGCGCCCCGTGAGCGAAGCGACCGGGAAATCCTGCCTCGAATGAGCAATTAATTGAAATTTAATAAGAATGGATATCGCGGATTATTAAATAATAATTGATTCTTAGATGAGGGTTTCTCAGGACTTAGGCGGCGTGCAGGAGATAAATCTGGTTGCTAGTAATTAACTGCAGAATGGGAAAATGCTGATGAAAGGGTGCTAAATGTGGGGGATTTTTGGGGGAATTAATTTTGGTTTAACTCTTGCTTGTGGCTTGTGCAGGGGATGGAGAAGCCCAGTTCTTGTTTACTCTGCTACCCTTTTATACCTTAGCTTTCAAATGGCCTTAAGATAGATAGCAGCATCTTTCATTAGATGCAGTCTACAGCAAAATGTGATGCGAATCTCATCAAATCTGAGCCCTGAGTTAGATGCACGATGAAAATAAAATGGCTTTTTTTCTGCTGTGGGCTCCCCAGGGATGTGGTGGGTGCCGAGGCAGGAACAGGGCTCAAGAGGGTGGTGCAGTTCCTGCTTCTTCAGGGTTTGGGGCCCGCTTTTGAGCGCTGTGTGGGTTCTCCAGTGTCTGCGCTGTGTGGGTTCTCCAGTGTCTAATATGAGCAAGTGTGTTGTGCAGCCTGTCCCAGCTCTGTTGGTCGTCAACAGAGTCTCTCCTCTGCCTGTTTTAATGGAACTTGTGGGAATTTCATGTAGCTGAATACTGTTGAAATAGCCAAGAGGTCCAATAGGTGTAAGTTAGCTGAGGAACCAGGTGGGGTGGACAAGGGAACTTATTACTCTGCATTTTTTGCTTTGCAGATGACTACAAGTCGGAGCTGCCGAGCTCTGCGCTGTGGGCAGGAGGCAGGGAGGGAAGGAAAGGGGCTCCCAGGGCTGCGCTCGGGGACGCGCTCAGTCCCCGAGGGGTGTCGAGCTGGGCTGAGCGGCCCTGGGCTGGGACGAGCTGCCGCGACACTCAGACGAGGCCCTTTCTCCCCGTTGCCCCCCAGGAAACGTGCGTACAGCAAGGAGGCGGTTTACAGCGACAAGCTGCAGCACTACAGCACGGGCCGAGGTGAGTGGCGGGTGCCGTGGGTCTGTGCGTGTCCCTCGTGCCGCCTGCGGGGACCTTCTTGTCCCTCCGCAGCCACCAAAGGCGAAGCAGGGAGCCTAGGAGGTGCATACAGGAAGGACAGGGATGTAGGGGAGGAGGAGGAGGATGCTGCAAAGGCTCCTGGCGGTCTCTCCTCTGGCCTCCTTTACTCACTGAAAGGAAAGAAAAAGAAAAAAAAATATGTCAGGTGGGATCTAACACCCCAACAAGTCGGGGTCACCGCAGTGAGCACGTCGACTTTCTAAAAGTGATAAATAACTTGCTCTTGTCCAAGGCAGCAGTAAACGGCCCGATGCCATAACAGCATCCAGGCTATTTTAAGGATCTCTTTGCAGGAAAGCTCAGCACTGGTTTCTTTCGCTGCTATGCTCAAATTCCCGTGTGTTCCCCTCTGAGCATCCCAGGTTTTGTCTGCCTGGAGATGGCCAGCGAGTGGCTGAAATTTCCAGACGTATCAAAATAGCTTTAGGCAGGTGCCCTCTGCGCCGACGGGAATCAGAAATTCCGATGCCTTGGGTGCCACTGCCGGCAGTGTCTTTGAGGAGGAAGGCCGGCTGAACGTGAATCTGGATGTTTTTGTCACCTCCAGATAACTGCTGGAGGGATTCTCCATGCGGATACAGGGTGATTTCCTTCCGTAGAGCAGGAAAGCCCACGGGCACCTTGCAAGAAGTACCAGAGGGTGTCTAAAAACCAGCTGGCGTTGGCAGGGGGCAGGAAACTTCTGCGCCATTTCCTCCTTTATTTATTCCGTTTTGGGATCAGCAAGTCAGTCGCGGTTACGATCCTGTAAATCCCTTTGTAATCCTGGCCGGAGCATCAGCTGCTCTTGTAAAAAAATTTATGGGGCAGTTAAGGCGTATGAGACAGAGCCGTAAAGGGATTTACGAAGTGGGAGATGCCCAGATGGCTTCATCACGCTCTTCATCACTGGACTTGGAGGCTGAGAGGCCTTTGCCCAAAACGCCCCTTTGAGGGATGAGGAGGCTCTTGCTTCATCCCTGCCGAGTCCTGGGGCCAGAGCGCTCTCCCTCTGTGCCCGGCTCTCAGCCCTCCTGGTTTTATGGCTTGGCTCTTCCGTCTTCCTTTAAAGCCCCACGTCTGGAGTCATGGTGTTTTGGGATGCTTGAAGCTTCTGCTGGAAGTAGAAGTCCAACTTCCATGCCTGTGGAGAGAAGAAACTTGGGTACATGATCTGTACCCGATAAGCTCAAAACTGAGCAGAGGATTCCCTCAAAAGTAATTTTTTAGGAGGGCTTTTAAGCTCTGGGTTGTTTACACTGGGCTGGAGGCTCAGCTGGTGCTGGTGTGGAAGCCTCGTGCCTTGCAGTGGCGGTGACGGTCCCAGCTCTCCTTCCTGGTGCTCCTTCCTTGTCGAGGTCCTGCCTGCGCCCTGGCCGGCTCTCGCCCTAGAGCTGCCTCCTGCTCCTGTTTGCCGGGCCGGAGCAGGGCCCCGTTTCACCCAGCTCAGTGCAGAGGAGGAGCAGGGAGAGCCGGGACGGGTGAGATGCATTTGCCCACCCTCTTCCCGTGCACCTGGTGATTTGTCCCCCCTGGTTACGATCCTGTTTTCCTCACAATGATTTTTTAACCCAGCAGGTCTGATGCAAAGTCTCGCTCCTTTCCTTCAGCCGTCCCTTCCCCACCTAGGTATTCCACCCCTCTTCTCTCATCTCTTTTCTCATCCCTTTGAAATGCTGAGCCCCAGCTGCCTTCCCTGCCCTTAGCAGCAGCCTCTGCTCCCGAAGGTGTCACGGTGATAAATATTGATACCCACCTGCAGCTCTCCCTGCTTGGCTGCCATCCATAAGTAATGGCCCATTCCAGCTTCCCTCGTGCACTCGGTGGACGGGTCTCAATCTGTCAGCTTCTAAGTAATATGCTCCATATTTTCCATAAGAGGAGCAGGAGGAAAGATGATGGAGGAGAGGCAGAGGTCGCAGCAGTAAGAGGAGAAGATATAATGGAGGGTAGGGTGGGAGAGGGAGATGATCAGCTGTGACGTAGGAGAGCATGAGGAGTAGTGGTGCATTAACTGGCGTGGGGAGAGGAGGCCTAAGGACGCAGGGGTCTGCAGAGCTGCAGCGGGGGGAATCGCTGCTGTGTTCCCCTTGTCACCTCTCCTTCCCGTGACCAGGCTCCCCGGGGATGAAGATCTACATTGACCCCTTCACTTACGAGGACCCCAACGAGGCCGTCCGCGAGTTTGCCAAGGAGATTGACGTGTCCTTCGTGAAGATCGAAGAAGTCATTGGAGCAGGTGGGGGTCGCTCTGCCATCCTGCCCTCCCCTCCCGGCCCGCAGGGCTTCCCTGCGCGTGCGCATGGCGTGTGCTCCAAGCCAACCCCCAGAGAGACCCGGGTTTGCGATGCCTGGGGAGGCATGGGTTGGTTTGGCCCATCCCCTGCCTCACCCCTCGATCTGTCACAACCCGGTGCCACACTGACATCCGTAGGGATACGTACACGTTTACACATACATGTCCATCATGTGGGCTGCTTTTATTTCAGTTTTTCAAATAGTAGAAGAAAAGCAGCAGGGAAGCTCCAGAGAAAACCCAAGCTGTTTCAGTGGGGATCAAGTTCAGCTGCGTAGCGGTTGCCTTTTGCTGCTCATCAAGGCAAAACCTGGCACAAACATAATCCGGCCACAGGCAGGCTTTGACTCGGCAATGGAAAAGCTCTCCAAGTGACATGACAGGAGGCTTTCTCTGTATTTTAAATCAGAGTGCTGAAATGAAAATAACCCAGTTATTTTCCCTTCCAGAATAAGCGATGTGCAAAAAGAAAGAAAGAAAGATTAGCAAAACAACCTCTTGATATTTGAGGCAGGTCCTAAGCAGTAGCTCTCCCTCCAGCTCTAGCTCTGCCAACCTTTCTGCAGGGATCTGCAAGAGCTTCACCCAAGCCCACCTCTGTTGGTGGATGACTTCTGTCAACTGAAAGAAGACTAAGCACTGGCCCCAAATATGTCCTCAACAGCAACGTTGTCCCTCAGGAGAGCACTAATTCCCCGTTAATTGGCTCATGCCTATTAGCCGGTTGATTTGCAGAGCAGGTAGCTCCGTATATTGCTGTTTGTTGCGGTGTTTTATGTGGAGGAGGAGGTGGTAGCTGGTGGTCTTGCACTTGCAGGGGAGTTCGGAGAAGTCTATAAAGGGCGGCTGAAGCTGCCCGGCAAGCGGGAGATCTACGTGGCCATCAAGACGTTGAAGGCAGGTTACTCGGAGAAGCAGCGGAGGGATTTCCTGAGCGAGGCCAGCATCATGGGGCAGTTCGACCACCCGAACATCATTCGGCTGGAGGGGGTGGTGACCAAGAGCCGGCCCGTCATGATCATCACGGAGTTCATGGAAAACGGGGCCCTGGACTCCTTCCTGCGGGTGAGGAGGGGTTTGGTACCTGTTGGGTGGTCTCTGTCAGTGGGATGTGGTCTCTGTTGCTGTTCAGCAGCATTCCCAGCACGGATGGGAACTGATTCCCGGGCAAGGAGCGGGGCAGTGCCTGAAGCCAGCCCGCTGTGACAGGGGGGTTTGGGGCATCTCCAGAAAGGAGAGCCAAGTTGCCAGCACCTGCCTGCAAAGAAGGTAGAAACGTGTGAAAAAAGTGGCAAGGGAAAAGAAGGGAGAGGAAGAGAGAAGGAGGGGTGGGGAGAGGAGATACAGAGGGAAAAAAATGGAGTAAACCACGTAGGTTGGGAACTTCAAAGGAAACTGCAAAGCAGTTAAGAATGTGGTATCCAGTCCTGTAAATCCGCTCAGTTTCCTTAGCTCAGAAGCCGGGTAATTTATAAGCCTAATTTCAGCCTTGATGTAAAAATAGCAGCATTAATTAGCACATGGGCTGCTCAGCAAGGTAGAAAAGTAGGTCATCAGTTCTGCTGTGTGGAGGCTCCTCGGGGTAGGGATCCCTCCGTCCGGGGGGAATGCGGGGTCTCAGGATGCTCATTTTCCCTCAAGCGAATGGAAAAGGCAGGGAGGGATTTGGAAAAAGAGTAAATTTGGCCAGAAAAATATAAGAGGCTCCCAGGTACCCGCCAGACGGTCCGTGCTGGTTTCAGACGACTCTTGCTGACCCCACGCCTGTTCTTTCTGCTCCCAGCAAAACGATGGGCAGTTCACGGTGATCCAGCTGGTGGGGATGCTCAGGGGAATTGCTGCTGGGATGAAGTACCTGGCGGAGATGAACTACGTTCACCGTGACCTGGCGGCCAGGAACATCCTGGTTAACAGCAACCTGGTGTGCAAAGTGTCAGACTTCGGCCTCTCGCGCTACCTGCAAGACGACACGTCCGACCCCACCTACACCAGCTCGTTGGTATGTACTGGCCGTGCCCCCGGGCACAAAATCTGAGAGGTCACTAAAAAAGACAGAGATTCGACCTGTGCAGGGTCTCGCAGGCCTGCGCCACGCTCTGCTTGCGAAGGCTGGTGCTCCCCTTTTCCTTGCCATCATCCTCTTCCCTTTCCTTTCCCCTCCTCTCTTCCCGAGCTTTCCGTCTCCCTCCTGCCCACAGCTCCCTTGTGCCCTTGGCGAGTTTCTGAGGGCGCCTCTCCTCTCTGCTCCCCAGAGGGAAGGGCTGACACAGGGGCTCACCTGGAGGAGGGGGCAGTAAGCAACTTGCTTGACCACAGAGCTAGGCTGCTTTGACTGCCAGTGCTGCAGCGCTCCTGTTCTGGGCTACTTTTCCTTACTGGAAATTTGTTCCAGGCATTAATTAAAGAGACGAGTGTAATGGAAGTGCTGCTACTCCCCAGCCGCTCTTTAATTAACTCCTTCCCGATACTCCCGGCCCCTCCCTGCTTCCTCTTCCGCAGCCCCGGGCAGTTGGAGCCTTCCATGCAGCCCTCGGGGACGGCGCGACCTGCTCCCGCTCCGGCGGGATCCCTCCAGAGCCGAGCACGGGGAGCCGCTCGCTTCCGCACGGAGGCAGTGAAACGCCTTGGGGCAGCTGTGCTCCTCGGTAGCGCTCCCACAGATGCATCCCAGTTTTTCCAAACTCTTCCTGCATGAGTAGCTTGGGGGTCACGAGTTCATAGGGAAGCTGTCTACCTGGTGGGCTCCGTAATTGATTAATCATTTATTAAAAGAGTTAATAACCTTCTTAACTCTTTAGAAACAATTCATAACATGGCGGTGAATAGCATGGCTGGGCCATGCTTTGGAGAAGGACGGTGAAGGGACCACGTTTTTTATTGGCAGTGCTAAAGAAAGAGGGTGGCTGGTTCCAGCTGAGCAGGTCACAGCTTTACCTGGTGGGCTCCGTAATTGATTAATCATTTATTAAAAGAGTTAATAACCTTCTTAACTCTTTAGAAACAATTCATAACATGGCGGTGAATAGCATGGCTGGGCCATGCTTTGGAGAAGGACGGTGAAGGGACCACGTTTTTTATTGGCAGTGCTAAAGAAAGAGGGTGGCTGGTTCCAGCTGAGCAGGTCACAGCTTCCTGGTGGAGGAGAGCGGTGCAAAATCTGGACGTTCTGGATCTGGGGTTTCTTGGCGATGAATGAAGCGAGATGGTGTGTCCCAAGCAGTGGCCATAGGGGCTGGTTTCTTGTTACTGGGCACCTGGGGATGGTGGGGAAAGGTGCAAGTTGGATGAGGGGGCAAGGAGAGGCCTCCTGGACCAGCTCCTGCCAAAGCAGTTTCTCCTGCCCTCCTTCCCTTGGCTTTCAGCAAGGTAAGTCCCAGAGCCAGGGAGAGCTGTGCAGGCTGGAGCTGGTGCAGCCCCAGCGCGTGGGCTCCTGGCCCGGTCGGGTCCTCTCCTGCTCCATGGAGCCGGCAGCGCTCTGTGCCCAAGCCCGTCCCGCCGGCAGCAGCTCCTCCTCGAGGACAACAACACTTCTCCTGTTCAAAGTGCCCAGCTGGGAAAAGGCACGAAAAGGCTTTTCCCCACCTTTAGATATAAAAGAGATTATCTCATCTGTGTTTATATTTAATGTAGGCCATAATAGATCTTCTCAGCAGCTGGGAAATGATGCTCTGCCTGCGATTACATCACTCTGCCTCCCACAGCAGGTTTTTAGCTCTAGGGGAAAGGCAGGAAAAACAACCTAGCAGTTAATTTCTCCATTTGTAGTTATTCAAATCAGATTTTTGCCATTCATCCTTAAAGAGCAGCTGACGCGTCGTTGGGAAGGCTGTGGAGAGCCATGGTGCTCTACGAGTCACAGTGCAATTCTGCCCTGAGTCCATCTTGCCCGTTTCGTTGTTTCCCTCCTTCATCCCTTGCTGATTTTGCTGTCACCTCGATGGCACCAAGGGGACGGGACTGGGCTTTGCTGAGGAGGAGCTGGGCTGCTCTTGATGCTGCTCTGTGGAGGCACCAACACGCTGAGCTCGCCACGTGCGTGGAGGGTTGTGGAACCGGTGCTGAAAGGACCTCCCTGAGCAGTGTGATGGGAGGGGAGACAGAGGCACCCATAGGAGCTGAAGGAAAATGGGGTGGCTCCTGGTGGCCCTGGCTTGGCTGGGGATGCTCTGCCAAAGGAACCATTTATTCACTTGTTCCTCCTCAAACTGATTGCTTGCTTGGCTCCATGCAGCCACATCACGGAGAGGGGCGGGCAGTGGGGCTGGTGGGCCGAGCAAAGGGAGGAAAATCCCAACGGCTCCCAGCGGGGCTTGAACACCGGGGCCTGACCTGCGTGTCCTCCTTCTGCAGGGTGGCAAGATCCCCGTGAGGTGGACAGCGCCGGAGGCCATCGCGTACCGCAAGTTCACCTCGGCCAGCGACGTCTGGAGCTACGGCATCGTCATGTGGGAGGTGATGTCCTTCGGCGAGAGGCCCTACTGGGACATGTCCAACCAAGACGTGAGTCGCTGACGGGGGGCAAGGCCGGAGGCCTCCTGGCGCGGGCGGTTTCAGACGGGCTTGCGGCACTGCGGGTGTCAGTTCTCCAGGCTACTCCCTGCCGCGGCACTCGGCAGTTTCTGAGATGAAAAAGGCTGTCGAGTGAAAGGAGAGACACAGGCAGAGGGGAAAGAAAAGCTGGTGGGTTGGTAATTGGACTCCAGGAGCCTCGAAAGCCTTTGAAAACGTTCAGAGGGTTTCGGAGCAGGGAAGGAGCTTTGGTCGCGGCACTGCCGCGCTCGGCGGAGCTCGGCTGGGCTAACGAGCGCGGGGCCGTGCTGCGCGCGAGCATCAGAGCCGCTGCTCACC